GAGAAACACTCAGCAGGTTGCTCATCAGTGCAGTTGAAATTGGAATAACATGAATAATGAAAGTGTTGTGAAGTAAAGTGATGGATTCTTTAAGTGCTTGAGGATCTCAGCTTTCAGGCCGAGGTCTTCCTCATCTGTGCTTGACATTATCTCCATTTGTACACGCCGCCTCAGGACTGCACTCATGCACTTGACAGAACATATTGATCGACTCCGGCTGCGTCTATACTCTTAAGTACAAAAGCATGTATTTGTGCTGTGCTGCTGTGCATTCGTGAAACCCTTTTGAAATCAGACACGAAGACGGAACAGGAAAAGAGACGAGAAAGGGTGTGAAGGAGGGAGAAAAGAGCAGCAAAGGGAGAACAGTGGGTCTCGTCTAGATGGATAATGGCCTGATTGCACAATGTAAAGCAGACTATGGGGGTGGAGGGGGTGGGGGTGGGGGTGGGGGGTTAACAGTTTAGTCACGGAGCAGAAGAAGACTGCTTGGCATCCATTCACGCCTTGAGTTCTATGGCAATGTATTAATGCCAAAACTACTGAACCAGTGCAAAAGTAATTAAAGCTGTTTTTTTCATTTAAAAGAGTCCGAACCCTTCATGCAGACATTTGCAGCTAAGATGCACCGTAAACTGCAACGCCAGCCGTTGACTCCCATTTAAATTGTTCGTAAAAAGCACATGCAATGCTAAGCTTGGCTGCTTAACTAGTAAGCCTCAGTATAGTTTAGATGGGAGACAATTAGCTGTAGAGATCAAAAACTTTTTGTAGCAGGCTGTAAACATGTGTAATTTTGCTGTAAAGTTGGGCTTTTTAACATTGGTGTCTATGGGGATCGACTCGCTTTTATGAGGCTGCATCAACGGCGCCATTTCAGAAAGTGCAATAACTGGCATTCGCGTTGACTGAATGTCTCAGTGTACCAGAGGTTGCGGCTTGATCACCACACTTATTGAAACCAAAATCTAACATTCTGCAACAAACAAAATAAGTGTATTTCCCAAAATGTTCAACCGTTCCTTCAAAGGCTTGAGCTGCAACAGATACAGTGAAACAGTGTTGAAGTCCGTGTGCCAAACGTTATTGATAAGCTCGCCCAAAACTGAGGGAGCAAACTGTGAGGGACGATTTCAAACTGAGCATAAACACCTCCTTTTACAAGTGCAAAGCTTCCCCTTGCAGATTGATCACAGCTTGAATTAAATGACTGTTTATTCGAATGTTTTGGCACTAATAAACTCCCGTATTTGACCCACCACACATGCAGCTTTATTGGTATATCGTTATAAAGCGAAAGTCTTAACTTGCTCGTCATTTTTGTTTCTGTTTTTCTTTGTTTGCTTTGCTCTTGTCCCAGAAAACCCGTTTTCTTTCTTTGCGCTAAGTCATCTTTTATTGTGCACGCTCCTCGAACAATTTAATATATAGCTGAATTTTACTTTGTAATTATAATTTCAGTGACAACTCTTTCTCTCTCTCGCTCTCTGTCTCACATTTAAAGACGCACACACACACAGGCGGCAGAGACAGAGGAACGAGCAGACAAAAGCATGTTTGTGTTCACGAGAATGTGAAGCACAGTGGGTCTCTATGTATGGAAGCAGTGTCAGGCTCGTCCTAGGGGGGGTGAGCGACAGTTGGAGGGGATTTCACAAACTCTTTTACTGAGAGCATGCCTACAAGGTCGCACAGGGATTTAAAAAATGAATATAGTCAGTTTTGTCTCAGAATGTTTTTACCAAACATGTTTTGCATGTTCGTCGGCCTTCACAGAGATGAATGTGAACTAAAACAAGCTTTCTTTGCCTTCTCTCTGTGATCACTCATGCATTCGGTCCGTTGTAGGGGAAAATGCAATTTCAGGTGTTTTCAATCATCATCATAATGTTCTGTCTTTGCATACAACATATAAAGTCATGTGACTGTCAGAATTATGACTTTACACTGTCATGATTAGGGCTGCAAGATTAATCGATTTATCTTTTGGTTGATAACTGTCAGAGCCCATCCAACAATGCATTTTTAAGCAAGGCCATCACGGACTAATTTAATAGAAACATGTTTTATCTGTTGGTTGAGAAAGAGTTAAAGGCGACGGGGAGAAGGAGGTGGTGGGAGAGAGAAACACTACATGTAGCCACTCTATCCATTGTTGTTTTTTGTTCCCCCCCCTTCTCCTCTGAAAGTACACAAAAGCAGCGCCGGTCCATTGTGGTGCAAAACAGAGAGCAGGCAGGGCGACCTGGGTCGAGAGAGGAGGCACAGGGACCCACACACACACACACACACACACACACATTCAGTCTTCCAGTCTCCCTCCGTCTCACACACACACACACACACACAATTCACAAGCTTGTGAGTGGAAGCGTTCAAACACACATTCACTTGAGTGCATGCAAATACATGCAAACATGCGCACACACACACATGATTTACAAACCTGCATTTCAAGGCAGGAGCCACACACACTCACACACACACACACACACACACACACACACGCACACACACTGTATTCAGACCCTTATTGTATTCACTGGAGTTAAGGTGCATATCCGTGCTCTCTCCCACGCAGCGCTTTGTGTTGATTGAGCAAGTTGCTCTGGTGAGAGAGGAGATGAATGTGACATTTAATACTGATATAACACACCCTCTCTCTCCCCCCCCCCCCCCCCAACATGCACAGTAAAAGCGCCCTGTCATCATTGTGCTCTCGCCCTAAGGCTGAGATGGAGGATCAGCCATAACCAATCCAAATGCCACCAATTAGCCATTAGAGAACAGACAAACAAACCACGACCTCAGAACAGCGTCTGGGACTGCAGTATCCCAAACATCACATGCTGACTTAGAGACTCACTTTTTGTGAGTACGGCATGTACAGACCTATTCATCTAGTCGCCACTTATTAGCTGGAAATGCAGATTTATTTTTTTTTTTTATTATTTCCCCCCATCACTGTTGTCTGAGCTCAGCTAGAAAGTATCAACTCCCATCCGACATGTCCCTGTGAGCATGCTAAAGACGATAGCATTGTTTGTACCGGCGGGATGCTTAAGCTGCCGCTACAGCGCGTAATGCTCCACAGCGGGTCGGGGGCCCTCTGGTGGCCGCTGCAGGTGACAGCAGCTCGGTTATATAGGTCACACCGCTCATCACAGAGCCTCTTCTGGGTCTTTCTGTACGCCGCGCTTATCTGTGACGAGACCGAGGGGATCAGAGCCTCGTGCCAGTGCCCATGATGCACTGCATTCAACGGCATGCCATGGATGGGGGGGGGGGGGGGGGGGGG